TTTTAATAGGGATTTTATAACTTTTCTAAAAATAACAGGCTTATTTAATATATATTTTAATTGTTTTTAGATATTTATTGTATAGTTCCGTTTTTATTGCCTGTAAGCCGCCCTGAGTCCTTCGGGAGAAGGGCGGGGTATAAATTAAAGTAATAATAATAATAATAATAATAATAATAATAATAATAATAATAATAATGAAATGTCTGCAAGAAAACCCACCAAGCTCAGAGAGCACCAAGCACCCCACAGTCGTCCTCCTCCTCTTCCTTCTCCTCCTCCTCCTCCTCCTCCTCCTCCTCCTCCTCCTCGTAAACCCCACTTCCTTCTAGCACTGATAATGTTCCCTAATTAGGTTATGAAACGTCTGCAAGAAAACCTCCAAGCACAGAAAACACCAAGGACCCCACAGTCTTTTTCTTCTTCTTCTCCTCCTCCTCCTCCTCCACCTCCACCTCCACTTCCCATAATCTTCATTCCCTTCTAGTACTGAAGATGTTACCTTGTCAGGTAATGAAACGTCTGCAAGAAAACAACCAAGCTCAGAGACCACCAAGGACCCCACAGCCCTTTCCTCCTCCTCCTCCTTCTCCTCCTCCCCATCTCCCTTCTAGCACTGATGATGTTCCCTGGTTAGGTTATGAAACGTCTGCAAGAAAACAACCCAGCTCAGACACTGCCAGGGACCCACTACGCCCAGTCATTTTGAAGCAGCTCCTTTGCTGCTGGCCATGTTAGAGCAGAGGAGGAGCGAGAAAGAGAGAGAGAGAGACGGCTTATGTCCTCGTCCCTCCTGAGGTGGATGGGGGGCAGACCCTTGGCCCTGGTCCCGCGGTCGTGGCCAAAGTGGGTCTGCTCTTCTCATCATAATGAGACCCTCTCTTACTCCTCCGCTGTCGCAGATATCAACGAGTGCTCCCTCAGTGACAGTCTGTGTCGGAACGGGCGCTGTGTGAACGTCGTTGGCACCTACCAGTGTGCCTGCGACTCCGGGTATCAGGCCACCCTAGACCGGCAGGGCTGCGTCGGTGAGTTTCCTACTTTTATTATTCTGTATCGTTCTTTTATTTTACTTTCATGATTATATCATACCCTATTCATATTTATTATTGATTGTTTTGCTTTATTTTTATTATTATTATCGTGTATTACGCCATATTATTTTATTTTTTTATTATCCTATCGTTTTATTTTATTTTACCTCCTTCTTTTACTGTATTATTTTATTTGCACCCCACACCCTTATTATTTTTATAAACAACTGGCATTATTCTGGGCCCCCCTGGACGGCCTCCCCCACAGATATCGACGAGTGCACCATCATGAACGGCGGCTGCGACACCCACTGTGCCAACGCGGAGGGCAGCTACGAGTGCAGCTGCGGGGAAGGCTACGCGCTGATGCCGGATAAGCGGTCCTGCGTGGGTGAGCGGCCGCGCGGGGGTCCCGGGAGAGAATCCTGCTGAAACCTACTTGCTTTCCTTTAAGAGTGGCCTTAGTGGGTTGTGCAGGTGGAGGAGAAGCAAAGAGGCCCCGGATTCTGACCCCTTCGTAGCCACGGATGCTCCTGGTGGGGCCCGAAGGGTGCTCTCTCAGCCCAACAGCCGGGGGGGGGGGTGTCAGTGGGGAAGAGAAGCAGTGGAGAGACCCAGATTCTAATCCTCCCTCGACCACAGAAGCTCCCTGAGGGAATATCTACACCAGTGCCCTCACTAGCCCAAGAAAACCTAGGGACGTTAAGCAGAGCATCTAGCTGGAATGGAGTATTACGGAGGAGGGTCTGGCTGGCTGGCTGGCTGGCTAACCCCATTTGGGGACCTATGCACTTATTGTACTTAAGGTAAAGGGAGGGAGAAGGAGAAGGAAGGGAACAAAGAAGGAGTGGTGAAGAAGGAAATAGGAAGGAAGGAAGGAAGGAAGGAATGGAAAGGGAGGGAGGGAGGGAGGGAATGGAAGGAAGGAAGGAAATGGAAAGAAATGGAAGGGAGGAATGGAAAAACAGGAAGGAAGGAAGGAAGGTAGGAAAGAAATGGAAAGAAAGGGAGGAATGGAAAAACAGGAAGGAAGGAAGGAA